CCCGGGCTGTCCGCAGCACCCTGTGCCCTGGCCCCGTCACCCCACGCCCTGTCCAGGCCCGGCAGCAGCCGTGGCCCAGCACGGCCCCGCTGCTCTCACCGCTCAGCACCGGCCCCGGGCACTCATCAGCCGGGGCTGGGCAGGGCAGGGCTCTGCCCGCCACTTCCTGAAAAGTTCTCGGGATCCGGGGCGGGACGGGACGGGGGAGGTGCCAGAGGCAGCGGGACATGGGCGGGGTGCTATGGGGAGCCGTATCCAGGCGTCCTGCTGCCACGGCGAGGGCACGAAAGGAGGTTTACCTGACATGGTCATGGCACCGCAGCCGGTCCCAGTGCGGCTCCCCTGGGTTCCAAGGCAGCGGGAGGCACGGGCAGCTCCGGGTGTTGTGCTCATTCCATAGAAATCCAGGGAGAGAAATGGAGCAGGGGCTGCGAGCCCAAGAGGGCTGGCCTGAAAGAAGCTTGTAGCTAGGTGGGGGTCAGCCTCTTCTCCCAGGCAACAAGGGACGGGACAAGAGGACATGCTCTCCAGCTGATGTCCAGGTTCAGGCTGGACATCGGGAAGAATTTCTTCACAGAAAGGGTGATCAGGCATTGGAATGAGATGCCCAGGGGAGTGGTGGAGTCACCGTCTCTGGAAGTCCTTAAGGAAGGACTGGACGTGGCACGTAGTGTGCCAAGGTCTAGTTGACAGGGTGGTGTCTGATCGTAGGTTGGACTTGAGGATCTCAGAAGTCTTTCCCAACCTAATTGATTCTGGGACTCTGGATGCAAGCTGCACCGGGCCCTGAGGGAAATTTCTCTTCTTACAGGTAGTAGACAGTAGCCACTGACTACTGGTCCAAGCTCTGGCTCTGTGAGCTTGGTTGTTTTCTGAGAGCAACTGAGCTACCATAGAAGCCACATCACACTGGGGACCTCTGGGGCACCCCCAGGGCAGCAAGGCAGGAATATCCACAGCCCACACACAGCCCTGCTGTTGAACCAGCACTCCTGCTTTGTTTGGGTCCAATGGGTTTCAGTGTTAACTTCTTACTTCTATTCATTTCCCTAATGCAGGAAATCAAGTGAACAAGCACAAGTGGTGACTCCCATAATCCCACGACTAGACCTTGCCACAGGATTACCACCTCCGAGCCTCCCAGCACAGGAAAGCAGCCCTGTCCCTCCTGCAGAGAACCTTGCCTCAGTATGCTGTCCCACACGTGGGTTCTGTCACTCAGTGTGCAAGAAGCTGATCCACACATGGAGTTGAGGTATTTCACAGAACCACAAAGTCATTTTGATTGGAAAAGACCTCCAAGGTCATCCTGTCCAACTCATGACCAAATACCACCATGTCAACTGGACCATGGCACTAAGTACCATGTTCTGTCTTTCCTTAAACACCTCTATGGAGAGTGACTCCGCCATTGCCCTGGGCAGTCCATTGAAATATCTAATCACCCTTTCTGTGAAGAAATTCATAGAAATGTATACGCTGAACCTTCCTTGACACAGTTTGAGGCTATGTCCTCATGTCCTGTTGCTAATTGCCTGGGAGAAGAGGCCAACCCCAGCCTTGCTACAACCTCCTTTCAAGTGGTTGTAGAGAGTGATAAGGTCACTGCTGAGCCTCCTTTTCCTCAGCCTGAACCCCCAGCTCCCTCAGCTACTCCTCACAAGACTTATGCTCCATTGTGCACCCTTTACCAGCTCCATTGTGCACGCTTCACCAGCTCCATTGCCCTTTTCTGGACACATTCCAGCACCTTAAAATCTGTATTGAAGCGAGTGGCTCAGAACCAGACACAGGGCTTGAAGTGTGTCCTCACTTGTGCCAAGTACAGGGGGACAATCACTTCCCTAATCCTGCTGGCCACTCCAAGATCATCGAGTTCCACCACTGACCAAACACCATCGTGACAACTATGCCAAAGCTAACTGATATGTCCAGTTGTTCCCAGAACACCTCCAGGGATGGTGATTCCACTACCTCCCTGACCACCTTTTCCATGAAGAAATGCACAGAGACAGGCGCTGGCTTTCTGGATTCATCACCCACTGCCCATCTCTGCACTGATAGGAAATAAACAAGTATGAGGCTCTGTGTGTGGATCTGCCTCACATGCACCTGGTGGCAGAACCCAACTCATGGGACAAATGGAGGGGATTGTGCTGACCCTACCAGGCCAGGGCAAGGCAGGCCAGGGCAAGGCAGGCCAGGGCAGGGCAGGATTCCAGAGTTGGAGGACAGTATTGTAATATGTTGGTGATAATAACTGGTCAGAGCCAGGGCCAATTAAGCCAAATTAGTTTATTAAAGCAAGCGGCAGTAAGCAAAACAGCGCTGGGCGGCCGGGGAGCCTCCGCTCCACCAACGGCGCACACCGGAAAGTCTCTTCTTCCTCTTTTTATACAGTTTGGTGTTTCATTTCCCCACAATCCCCTCCCACTTTTTATTCCCCAGTCTGACGCAGTCAGTGATCTTCTGCGTTTGCTTGTGTTGTTGCTAGGGGGTTGTACTCTGTCTTCTGGTGGTCCCAGGGAGGAAGGCACTTCATCTTCTTCGTCGGTCTTCTTTGACCTAGGAGAGAATTCTTGAAACCGGCTAAGCAACTGCTGAGGTTAGCTGTGTTTTGTGCATGCAATGCTTACTGAGTCAATCACAGTCCCCTCTCACTTGAGTCCTTGTTACTTTCTTTTAATCTTATTAGGACTTTTAATGAACAAAGTGCCTATAGCATATCACAATCCCTCCTTTTCTCTTTTACCATTTTGTTCATTAAAATGTTCTAATTCTCTACGGCTTAGGGCAAGGGTTTCAATTACTTCTGGGCCCTCAGATATTTGTTCGTATTTGGCCCGGATAAGCATTAGATGTGCTGCTTATAACCTTCCTTTCACAGTTTCTACGATTTTATTAAAAATATAAGGGCCAAATATTAATCCTAATACCAGGAAGATTACTGGTCCTGCTATAGTTGATAACAAGGTGGTGAGCCAGGGGGAATTGTCAAACCAGCTTTGTTGTGCTTCTCTCTCTTTCTTTCTTCGTTCTAGTCCTTCTCTCAACTTAGCCATTGATTCCCTTATAATATTGTGTACCTCAGGCAGTTCGTCTTTGCCAATTACTGAGTTCGGGCCCACAACCTGATAGTCACTGGGCAGAGGTTCTTTTTTAATAACAATTAGTCCTCCCCTGTCAGTTCCTGTCTCCCAATACCTTAATCCCCATATTCTTCCAATCAGCCATCCACCATCATGGGGTTGTGTCACGTTTAGGTATAAGTACTCACAATTCCCAGGGTGACTTATTCCTGTATCTGAGCCTATCTCAGGGGGCTGACATCCTTCCGGTCCCCATCCTACTCTTAGATATTTGTCTGATCCCCCTCCTGGTGTGAATCCGTATGCAATAGTTTCACATCCCCAATAGGCACAGTAATAATGTCCAGGCCAATTGCAGTAACTCTTTCCTGGGTTCGATGCTGGACACATGTAAAAACCCGGCTTCTTTAAACAAGGGTAGGTGGGTGCCAAATCGCATAAATACGCCTGGAAGGCTGGGGACCCGGCTACACTTACTGATTGTAAAATCTTTTGATCACTCCATCTAATCAAAGACCATTTAAAGGGTTGGTGAGTATATTCCCCTTCCAACAGATTGCAAAGCATTCCCAAAATCACTAAAATAGTCTGCCAGAAAGGGTGGGGTCTCAGTCCTCTTATTATCCTCTTTATTTTGAATCTTTCCCTTATTTCCAGGTGTTTGCCTTTGAGTCCCTTCTTGGTGTCTTGCCCGGGCTCTCTCAGGGAATCAGTAATCCTGGGGCATTTCTCACAACGCCTCGGCGTTGTCCCACTCGGTGGGGCCTTGCCTCCACACCTTCTTACCTCTCTGCCTCGCCCGCCGACTTGGTTGCTGCAAGCCGCGAGGTGTTCCATCTTCTCGGCAGCAGAGGTAATCTCTGGGAGGTTTATCAGTGCGCCCCTTTCTATTCTTGTATGATTCCCAATTCTTGTCTTTTACTTGTGAGTCACACCGGATCCACCAGATCTAACTTAGGACCTTTGGGCAACACCCCTTTGCAATTTGGACTATCAATGGGGCTGGTTTGTTGGAATGGTAACGATAATTTTCAGGATTAGCCCCTTTAGTAAATACTTCCCACCATTTGCGGGATTGTCTCAGTATTTTTCCAGTTATTTCCTCTATTTTCAAAGTTGCCCTATTAATTTTTCTCTCTATTCGATAGCACTCCTTACAAATTCCCTTCAGCGATCTGCCTCTATAACGAGTCCACCACCGTTCTTGGCAAACCTTACAAACAAAGCATACAAAGGGGTAACAATTACAATCTTGAATCCCACAATAAACCCTAAAATCAGCAGCAATAGCGTAACCAAATCTAGCCAACTCGCCAATCCCGGTCTCCTGGATTAATTGCACAGAGTTCATTAGTAACAATTTTCTTGAGTCTGGTCTCAAGTCCTTATCTCTTAAGGGTGACTTTCAGATCTCTAGGCATGCTAGTGACTTTCCAGAGCTTCTCGGCTTCCACTGAAATGGGTCCTTTCACTCAACTAGCGTGAGTCCATCCCTTTTCAGCAGTTCTCAAAGCTGTTTCTGTAGTAAGCAAAACAACATAGGGTCCTTCCCAACGAGGTGTCAAAGATGCCTATCTCCAGGTCTTAATTAGTACTTTATCTCCTGGCTTGATTTTATGGATTGTTATATCCAAAGGGGGATGCTGTGCTAAAAGGCCTTCTTTGCGTAGCTCCTCCCTTCTAGCCATTAATTGTGTTATGTACAAATTAATTTGAGAGTTTTCAAGACGCGGATGATCCACAGGGGCTTCCATATCATAGGGCATTCCATAAAGCATTTCAAAAGGGGAAATCCCTACGTCCATTTGGGGTTGTGTTCTTATATTCAGCAGGGCCAAAGGGAGGCATTTTATCCATGACATCTTTGTTTCTAGCATCAATTTGGTTAATTGCTTCTTAATTTCTCCATTCGTTCTTTCAACTTCTCCCGAGCTCTGCGGGTGCCAGGGGGTATGATATTGCCATTGGGTTCCCAGTGCTGAGGAGATATCCCTCGCCACCTTTGACACAAAATGTGGGCCTCTGTCTGAATCAATCACCTCTATTATCCCGTAGCACGGGATAATTTCCTCCAAAAGTATTTTTACTACAGTCTGAGTGGTAGCCCTTGCGGTAGGGAATGGCTCTGCATAATGAGTCAAATGGTCTATTATTACTAGCAGATGTTTATGCCTCCCTACCTTTCGTAGCTCCGTGAAATCTATTTGTATATGGGAGAAGGATTGGTGTGCTAATTCTCTTCCACTACCCGTTCCCTTAGCTGTTGCTTGTTATCCTTTTGACAGGTTAGACAACCCTGTGTTATTTGTTTAGCCAGACTGTGAATTCCAATGCACATGTATTTAATGGCAAATTGATGTACCAATGCCTGTGTTCCCCAATGGATCTTCTCGTGAATTGCCCATAGTATTTTCAGGGCAAGTGACTTGGGGAGGACTTCTCTACCATCCGGTAGTTCCCATTTCCCCTCAGTTGTTTTTGGTATTCCCATTTGAGCTAATTTGGTTTTCTCTTGTGCAGTAAAACTGAGAATACGTATGGGGCCATGCAAAAGGCAATGTTTCTTCTCTGGATTGTCACAAGCACAACGTATTCCATCCACCCCAAAGTGTCCTCCCAGCATGCATAACATGGCTCCTCTTCTGAGTCTTTACCACAGGTAGGACAGTCCTCTCTGGTCTGTTCTTTAACCCGTAGGGATAACAAGGCTGCCCGTCTGGCCTCCTGATCTGCCAAGTTATTCCCTCTCACTATAGCACTTAGCCCTAGTACATGTACAATGGCTAATTTCTTTGGCCCCCTCAGGGCATGTAAGATTTGTGTTATCAGTTCCTCATGGATTAACCCTTTCCCTTGTGAATTTATTAAGCCTCTTTCTTCCCATATTTTTCCAAATGTGTGTACCACCCCGTAAGCATACTTTGAATCTGTGTATATCATTCCTTCCTTATCTTTAAGTAATCTTAGGGCCCTCAATACTGCATATAATTCACATGCTTGGGCTGACCAGCTGGGGCTAAGAGGGCCTGATTCTATAGCTTCAAAAGTTTTCCCATCTATGATAGCATACCCTGATTTCCTTTTTCCTTCTACTACCCTAGAGGATCCATCTACAAATAATTTTTCCCCTTCTTCCAATTCCTCTTCTTCTAAATCTGGTCTTATCTTTATCTGTTCTTCTATGCTCTTAAGACAATCATGGGTCAATTCCTCACTAGGTTCCCCATATAAAAATTGAGCGGGGTTTTGCAAGGTGGTCGTCTCCAGTGTTAACTCAGGGGATGACACCAAGATCCCCTCATACTGCATGAGCCTTGCATCAGTAGTCCATTTCTCCACCTTTTGCTGTAATACCCCTCTGATATTATGCAGGGACATAACCCTGAGTTCGCCTCTGAAGGTGATTTTCACTGCTTCTGTAACTAATAAGGCCGTGGCCACTATGGCTCGCAAACATGTTGGCCATCCCCGACTAACGGGGTCTAAAAATTTGGATATATATGCCACGGGTTTTTTACTCCCAGCCCACTCCTGGGCCAAAACTCCAAATGCTGTCCCTTCATTAGTGTTAACAAAGAGGAAGAAAGGCCTCTTTAAATCTGGTAAACTAAGTACTGGGGCATTTACAAATTCTGCCTTAATGTTCTCCAATTGCTCCTCATCTTCGGGGGACCATTTTAATAATCCCTCCTTAGTTTCTGGTATAAAAATTTTACTTTCCCACTAAAGTTTTCAATCCATTGTCTACAATAACCAAACAGTCCTAACAACTGTCAGACCTGTCTTTTAGTCTTGGGGACTGGAATCAAAAGGATCCCCTGCACTCTCTCAGGGTCTAGTTTCTTAGTCCTATTGCTCAACCTATGCCCTAAGTATTTTACTTCTTTCTCCACGAATTGTAACTTAGATTTAGAAACTTTCAATCCCTGTAGACTCAAAAAGTTCAACGATTTTATGCTCTCCTGCCTAACTGCTTCCTCATCGTTTCCAGCTATTAATAAATCATCTACATATTGTACTAATTTTATGCCTTTCCCTAAATCATAATTTCGTAAAATTTGTTCTAACGCTTGTTCAAACAGGTTAGGGGACTCTGTAAACCCTCGGGGAAGGACTGTCCACCTCAATTGCTGTTTCCTATAAGTGTCTGGGTCTTCCCATTCAAAGGCAAAATAGTCTCAACAGTTTTCCTTTAGGGGACATGCCCAAAATGCATCTTTTGAATCTACTACACTATACCACTAATTTTCTGGTCCCAGTTGACTCAATAATGTGTGGGGATTGGCCACCACTGGGAACCTTTCCACAGTTCTTTTATTAATGTCTCTTAAATCATGTACCAGTCTATATTTCCCATCAGCCTTCTTTACAGGTAGTATGGGAGTATTAAAGGGAGACATGCAGGGTTCTAGCAACCCTTGTTTTAATAGTCTGTCAATTTCAGGTTTCAGGCCTTGTCTCCCTTCTTTAGACAAAGGCTATTGTTTGATTCTTGCAGGGATTTCTGGGTTCCTAATTGTTACTTCAAAGGGTTCAATATCTAACTTTCCCACAGCGTCAGGTGTGTACCATACTTCAGGATTTATCTTTTCCTCATCTACCGTGCGCAGGGGGCACAATTTGATGTTTAATTTGTTTTCTACAACCTCCAGGCTAATTCCCAATTCAATCATCAGATCCCTCCCCAACAGATTATAATCAGCTTCGGGGACTAGCAACAGGGATCCCAGACCTATTTTCAAATCTGTTTCAAACAATACATCTTTTATTACAGATACCCCAAAGGGCTCCCCTTTGGCTCCAACCACTTGTACCTTTTCTTATGAAATTTTACAACCTCGGGGCAGGTATTGAACGGTGGGCCTTTCTGCTCCTGAATCCATCAGGAACTCAATTTCTTCTTGTTGGGGACCTACCTTGAGTTTTACCAGGGGCTCTGACCTTTCTTGTCTCCCCAACAAATAGAGCCCCTGACCCCCTTAATCTTCCTTGAACATCTTTTCATCTGCTGCCCTTTTCCTACATTCCCTCTTTATGTGTCCTTTCCTCCCACAATAAAAACACACCACCCCTCCTCCTCCCTCCTTTTCTTTTCTTGGTCTCTCTACCCCTTGATTGTTCCTTTCTCCCCTAGAAACAGCCACCCTTGGTGGGGGTGCTGCTCTCTGTCCTTCACGAACTGAGCTTCTCTCAACAATTCTTCTAAGCCTCTAGCCTGCTAATCCTCTACCTTCTCCAACTTCTTCCTTATGTCCACCCATGATTTTGCTACAAACTGGAATTTCAACAATGCTTCTCCCACGGGCGTGCTGGGGTCCACTCCCGAGTATAATTGCAAGTTCTTCCTAAGCCTCTCTAACCAGTCGGTGGGATCTTGATCTTTTCATTATGTTCCTGAGGTCCTGCATTTCTGTTCGATGGTTAGGGTTTTGGTAATCCCAATTGGGCCACTGGTGTTGCTGTTCCCATATCCTCATTCCAGCTGCCCTAATCATTCACCTCTCCTCAGCTGTGAACAGGATACCCAAAATAGCCTGTATCTCATCCCATGTGTAAATATTTGGCCCCAGGAACTGATAGACCCTTTCTGACACCCCTAGAGGATCTTCCAGAAGATGCCCCATTTCTTTTTTAAACTCCCGAACATCCCCTGAATTAAGGGGTACAGCTACGTCCCCAATCCCGGGAGCCTGTCCCCCACCCTGCTGGGGACCCATTCCCATTGCAACTTCCAGGAGGGAAAATAAGCCCTGTCCCTCTTGCTCCCTTCTCATCTGACTCCGGGTCACCCGTCACCTCACCCCTGGTGTGCCGGGATCTGAGTCCCAGTCCCCTGGATGTATAGGGGCTGTAGGATTGGGTGGTGGTAAGGGGGCAGGAGGGGGAGGTGGTGGAGTGCATGGTGGGGGCAACACGGGTGTCTCATCTTCCGTCCTAGTCTTTTTCTTCTTCTCTTCGTTTAACGTGAAGAGGTTCACCCTGGTCTCAGTAACTATCCACGAGGCAGCACACTCACTTTTCTCCAAACGAAAGGGTTCCTTAAAATTTACATAAATATTCTGAGCCTGACAAATCCAATCCTCAAAAGATCCAAAAATTGGCCAATAGAGGTGGTCTCCCCTGATCTGCTTGCCACCCCATTTTTCCATGCAACAGTGTATCATTTTTTTTTTGCCTTATCTTTCCCCATCCTAGAGGGGAAAGCATCCCAAGTTTTAATCATTAGACCTAATGGACTATCTGGCGGTATGTGGGGGAGCTTAACTTGGGGTCCCCCGCCCATGGGAACAGAGGGCTTGCTTTACCTCTGTCCCATCTTCCGGAGTGCCTTCTCACTCACATACACTCGCTGCCCCCCTGTTCGTGATACAGTCCCTTGCAGGGTATGGGAACTGCACTACTAAAGGGGTCTGTGCTCACTTTGCCCACAATCGGGCATCTCACACGGCACACTCCAGGATACCCAACCCCAACCGAACGGATCACCGGCCTATACTCACGCACTCCTGCGTCTTCGTCCGGGGCTTCGTGCACAAAGATTACGGGGTTGCCGGCTTTCTTTTGCTTACTGTCGATTTCAAGGTTCGTCGGTCAAGGTCCCAGAGGGCAGCTCCCAAACGGGGCCGCAAAGTTGCGGGGCGCCTCCCCGAGGGAGAGCCTCCCACCGGGTCACCCTGATCCGAGTCACGGCACCAAATTTGTAATATGTTGGCGATAATAACTGGTCAGAGCCAGGGCCAATTAAGCCAAATTAGTTTATTAAAGCAAGCGGCAGTAAGCAAAACAGCGCTGGGCGGCCGGGGAGTCTCTGCTCCACCAACGGCGCGCACCGGAAAGTCTCTTCTTCCTCTTTTTATACAGTTTGGTGTTTCATTTCCCCACAATCCCCTCCCACTTTTTATTCCCCAGTCTGACGCAGTCAGTGATCTTCTGCGCTTGCTCGTGTTGTTGCTAGGGGGTCATACTCTGTCTTCTGGTGGTCCCAGGGAGTAAGGTACTTCATCTTCTTCATCGGTCTTCTTTGACCTAGGAGTTGTTATAAATGAGAGACAGAAGTCTCAATACTCAGCAAAATTTAGATTGCTTTATTTGATATAGAAAGAGCAAGCAGCGCGCTGGGGAACATGAGGGGTCACCACCCACTCCACGCTCCACCGAACCTTGGTTTGCAGCCTCTTCTTATACTGTGGGTTCTCGTTGTAATCAATAATTTTTGGTTTTTGTTGTTATAAGCAGTGGTGGTTGAATAAACATCCTTACACAAATTCACAAAGCCTTAGGGTGATAATCAGTCACAGATAGCCATCTGGTCCTTGTAGATAACCACCAGAGAAGTTCTGGGAGTCTGGTCCTTGAGATAGGCAGTATTGATCAGACAAAGGCAGGAAGGGCTATTGGGAAGTCTGATTTTGCAAGCTGCTAGCCGATACAACTTATTTGGAAAACATAACATAATATAACAAGGTGATTTTAAACAGAATGATTTTATCATATAATTTCCTTTATCTAGTATCCATGCTTCACTTCAGAACTTAGTATTCTGCTTTATACAAACCCCAATGCTTTTGTGATTAACACGAATCTTTTATCAATTATCACAGAGTGAACTCTTGAAACCGGTTAAACAACTGCTGAGGTTAGCTGTGTTTTGCGCAAGCAATGCTTACTGAGTCAATCACAGTCCCCTCTCACTTGAGTCCTTGTTACATTCTTTTAATCTTATTAGGACTTTTAATGAACAAAGTGCCTATAGCATATCACAGTATTAAGCTGTGCCAGGAGAGGTTTAGGTTGAACATCATGAGAATTTTCTCCACAGGAGTGGTCAGGCGTTGGAACAGGCTGCCTAGGCTGGTGGTGCAGTCACCATTCCTGGAGGTGTCTAAGGAAAGCCTGAATGTGGCACCAAGTGCATGTTCTAGTTGACAGAATGGTATTCGGTCACAGGTTGGATCGATGATCTCAGAGCTGTTTTCTAATCTCATTCACTCTGTAACTCCGTGATTTTGGGGAATCACAACCATCCCAACACAAACAACAAGGCCGCACATCACTGCCGGCATGGGCGGCCCACGCTCTGCGCACGCGCCACCGCCCGCGCTGGCGGCGGCCGCACGCGTGGCTCCCCATTGGCCTGCGCGCTGCCCGCCCGTCCGGCCCAATGGCAGCGCTCGTTGTTGAGGGGTGGCGGGAAGAAGGCGTTGCCGAGGCCTTGCCCCTTCCTTTCGCCGCCGCTGTCCCTCGCGAGCGCACGTCTCAGGCCGCTGTCCCGCGCCGCCGCCGCCGCCCAAGTAAGCGCGCGGTGCGCCGTCCCCCCTTTCCCCCCGCGCAGAAATGGTGGCGTCCGGCGCACCCGCGCCAGACCGCCGCCGCCCGCGGGGCTCGGGCGAGATCACTCGGGGCGGGGGGGTCGTTTGGAGGGGAGAATGGCGGCCATGTGCTCTCCCGGCCTGCGCTGGACGGGTTGAGGCGAACGCGAAGGCGGCAATGCCGCGTTGCCGGTTTTCTTGGGGAGAGGTGTGCGATGCCGGCGCGGGCCGGGAGTGTGTGCTGGGCCGCCGCATGCGGGCCCCGTCCTGGCACAGTCTGGGGAGCGTGGCCTCTCGGGCCGCGGGTTCTCATTTAGAAGCGGAGTCAAAGAATTTTGCCTCGGAGGGAGAAGGGATGCGCTTCCTCCGAGCATACGTAACTCGGCCATGCTGAAACTCTGCTCTCCTGTCTGCAGGATGCGTTACGTCGCAGCTTATCTGCTCGCTGTGCTCGGGGGCAACGAGTCCCCCACGTCCAAGGACTTGAAAAAGATCCTCGACAGTGTCGGCATCGAGACGGACGATGAACGCATGAACAAGGTGGCGTTGCCTCTTAATTCCAGGTGTCCCAGCCGGCACCAGACATCAGAGCTGTTTCCTTGGCTTCAGGGTTCCCATTGCCTCCCTACTGATCTGTTCTTATGTTGATCAGACATTCGCTGATTCTTAGCAGTGTGATTTCTAAATACTGCCGAGCTAGTCATAAGTTTTTACAGCTTTTGTTAAAAGGCTGGCTTTCTTATTCAGTACCTGTTCTCTCTAAAGGTCTCTATCAATTTTTCCTGACTTCTGGTAGTTTAGTCTAATCATCCTCACTGAGATAGTGGCTGCATATAAAGATCCATTGAAAATGTTCTGACATCATTTATAGTCTGCACTGAAGGTTCACGTCTTATTTTTGATGCGTATCAGTTCAAACCTAACGCTTTTGAAGGCCTGATACTCAGTAATACATTCTTACTTTGTGTGTTGCAAAGGAGCATTTGTTTTCTCACCAAGAAATATAGGCAAATCCTAATATGGAGATGAAAGGTATTTGAGGATAATATACAAGAAGATTTGGGAAATTAATACTGAAGTGGTTGTGATGAAAAACAGAGGTTTAAAGAGTATCTTAATTAGAATATTTCTTGTGATACAATAAGTCTGAAGCATTGTGGACCTGAAAATAATTGGGGATGGGGGAAAAAAACAAGAGCCAATAAAATGATCTTATCACTTGTCCCATACTCATATGTGAAGTGTTTCCATAGAAATAAAGATAAAAAGAAACTATTTATCCAGTGTTTTACCATAGGTCCAATGTGACAGTGGGTTGGCTGAGCTGACAGCATCCTTACATCCTTTGAACTTTTGGTGCTCCTGTTTAAGTGCCAGGTCTTTTGCTCCTTTTGGTTCAATACTTTAATGAATGAATTGCTTTCTCTCATCCTCCAATATTCAGAAAACTGTTCTGGAATCTGTTTTGGTCATGATTTTTGCATTATCTATGTCCTAAGCCTGTTTAAGTGTAGTGAGGTCTTAACAGCACCTTTCTCCTGGATGGAGCAGTCATGCAGGCACATAGTTTCACACATCCTATGCTCTGTGTAAGTAGAAGGTGCCTGTTAAAAAGTTCTTGATTAAAGTCCTTTGGCCACTGACTCCTGATAACTGGGACTCACCAGTAAGTTCTAGAGCATTATTTTTAAGTGCTTGCTTTAGCAATTTTGGGGTTTGTGTTTTGCTTTTGTCATCCCTGGTTATATAACACTGCTAGTAAAATTAAATTTGAAACTCTGTGTTCCAGGGCAAGGTTATAATAGCTTGGCTTTTAACATTTAGTAGGGCTAGGAATGGGACCCTGTGGTTTTGGGTCCAGAACCCAGTGCTTCAGAGCCTCCCAGGGGACATTAAGCAAGAAATGTAAACAGTCCCTCAGTGACTTACACTCTTGGTGGGGCTTCCTAATGGGTTCCACAAACTCTCTGTATCCTCTTTTTTTCAAGGTCGTTGAATTAATTATGAATTCAGTAACAGATTTCATGAAAATGCTTAAAGTAGAAATGCTTAAAACTTACCTGAAGTTTTTGTGTCAATGTTCTGTTCCTGGCACTGAAAAGTCGGGAATTTTGGGGCTGGATGAGCAGCAGGATGGAGGTGCTGTATATGATTCATGAGTACTCATTTATATAAGTAACTTATTCTCATATTTGGGAATTCTAACATTCTAAATTTTACTTGCAGGTTATCAGTGAGCTGAATGGAAAAAACATTGAAGATGTAATTGCCCAAGGTAAGTAGATTCTCTGAGTGACCCAGGTAATTGCCTCTGTTACTTTGATAACCTAGACCTGTGAGTGTAGAATTGCTGCCAAGTCACTGACTCTGTTCAGCATCATGGATCACAGCTGAATTGGGTGAAATCAGGTCCATTCTAATTCCCTGCAGGTCAGTGCCAGTACCTGCTGGGTTTCGCTTGTGGACCACATTAAACTGGAGAACTTAAGCATATATGAGCTTACTGGTAGTCTGCTCATGACATAGTTTTCTGGACATTTTGATAAGAAACTGAGCTGTCCTTCGGGTTCTCTAGGAGGATGTTTTGTGTTTTACCCACTTGTGTGCGCCAGTGATGTAAAGCATGAAGAACAGGCAGTTGGCATTGGGGTTCAGCTCCACCCTCTGCAATGAGCACAAGCCTTTCCAGTGCACATCTCTTGTAGAGCTCTCAGAGTCCTGCATTTCCTTTTCCCTGAGGCAGAACTCCATGGGCTGATTTCCATAGAAACTTGTGCTCTTACTGGAGCTGGAACTTTTCACATGAATTGACTGGGTCATAGGGCTGAAGTAAAGCAGAACTGAGGTAGTGCAAAGGTTTCTGATTAATGTTTTTTTGGGGTTTTTTTTGCAAGTGTATAGGCACAAGGGAATTTGCAGGCATAGTTTTGCCCAAAGGTTGCCAGGACCTTGCCTGACCTTGTGGTCAGGAGCAGGCACTGGACATTTCTATTCATGTGGTTTGAAAGACCTAAGAGAGCTATTCCACATGTGGTTGCAACACGCTGTCTTTCTGTAATACTTTAAATAAATTGTTTCTTAGAACATACATGCATATGAAACATGTTTGTTTACTTTGCTAGTTTAATTAGATCTTGAAGTAACAGGGAGTTATTTAGAAATTGATTCCCAGAAACTGGAATACAGGCAAACATAGTGTGTACGTCACCTTTGAATGCCAGGGGAGCCTTGGTATGTGAAAGACAAGAGGCCAGAGAGCTAGCTGGCTTTCCAAATACGAGCAGAAATCAGATGTCTCAAAGGAGATGCAATAGGGTTCATAGGGGTTCTGAAGAATTTGTTTAAAATACTGTACTCTTTGCCATAAATAAATCAATCTTTCCATTTCTCTCCTGTAAGGGTAAACAGGGTGTAACTGGATCACACTTAAAGGGGAAAAAAAATGAGCAGGGGAAGTCAGTGCTGTTGCTATGCTACTTTTGAGGTGCATTATCACTTTGTGGGCTACTATGCTGTATTTGGAGAACAATGTGGGTGTGTGAAATTGGATGTGTTTGCCGCTATTTTTATGACAGCTTTTGGAAAAAAGAGACTTTGTGTACAGAAGAACTTAATAATACATTGCCAGTGTTCTTGGGATAAGCCTTTGTGAATCTTAAAACTCCTGAGTGTTTTCCACAGAACAGTTGATATT